CTACTTCGTATAGTGTTGTAATCAGCAACTATTTCAACTAGATACTTTACACTTGGTTAGAAGCTGAAAAGCATTCATCATTAGTTCCTCCCATAGATTCACGCTGATATTGTAATAATTAAAATCTTTTTTAAACAGTCTTCTGCAATGTAAACAACAACAGAGGATTTGGCAATGCATTACCTCTCTGGATTTCTATAACATTTCTAACAAGTTGTGGCTAATTGAAATACATATCTAGAAAATCTTGATTTGAATAGGTATTAAGTACCAAGGTACTTTTATGAAGGGTTTTGGAAACTGTACCTTTGTTCACTCCTTTTTCAATTTATTCAAGGATTTGGGTTGCCCCAGATGATCAAACTTACCATCCCAGGAACTAGATTCCACCCAGTTAATGGCATTGAAGAGTGCAGCTGTGCCTCCATAACATGCATTTGTTGTGTCAATGCCCTCCACATCTGTGTTACCAGATTCTTCAAAGAGCTGCATCAGGACTGTCTTTACAGATTTGGATTTGTCGATGATCGTCTCCGTTCCAACTTCAAGTCTTCCAATGCAATCATAGGAAAGACTGCTCCGCTCCATCAGCTTCTGAACTGCGGTGAGGCAGAGTGAATTGATATCCTCTCTGTCAGAGCAGAAGCCCATCTTGGATTGTCCCAAGCCAATGGTGTATTTGCCTGCATCCACTCCATCAAATTTCTCTAACTCTACCTGGTCAACATACTGGGAAGGAAAATAGATCTCCAAAGCTACAATTCCCACATCTTTTGGCCAACAGGCTTCAGCATTCACAGGTAGGGATCCAGGCATATTGGTGTATCTAAAAAAAAAAAAAGGTCATGGTTTTATACCAATGTACAATACTGAAATTTAGTTTTTGAAAATATCAATAATCCAATATTTGACACAGTAATTGTCAAGAACAAATATTATCTGTTAGACAGTTTTAAGCTATTCCAGAAACAGCTATGAGTAAACAGAAGGAATACTTCATATAGAAATGTACTCTTCTGCTTCAGTTGATGCTATTCTGGTCTATTACAGTGTTCTCAATCTTATCAATTTTAAGGCATGTGGATTTCAACTGTCAGAATTCTCCAGTCAGTCATGCATCCATACAATTTTGTGGAATTTCATTATTTTAATAAGAATCTGATTTTAAAAAAAACAAATACTCATTTTGCTTTATCTTTTAAAAGGATATACCATCAAATTTCTTGCACTGAAGAAGGATGTGTTCTCCCTATTCAGGGCTGTCAAACTCCCGGCCCGCGAGCTTGGATTCGTCAAGCACCGGCCATGCCTATGCCCAGTTTAGCGAAGGTGGAAAAAGTCGTGCTATACCACATGACGCCGCTGTGATGCAAGTTTGACACCCTTGCTATAGATGAACATCTGACTTGTTTTGCTTCACACCTCTTAATAATGCCCAATATGAAAAAAGCAGAATTATTCTGTCAGAATGGAAACTATAATTTTGCATTCTTCCCCTAAACAATAAAGAGCAAAAACAAAAACCACAGTAACAAAATGTTAATGCTGTTCCTGTTCATAAAGATACCATATACATACTGGAATTCAGAAATACACAAAACAATATCCAGTATATATACTGTAAATACTATTGAACAGCATTTTAAAAAAATATCACTATATCTGCAGGAATATCATTTTTCTTTTAAAATTATGAAACAGAATGGGAAGAAACAAACATGCGGGAAAGAAATGCCAAGAATGTTAAAGAAATTCAGAAATATATAATACAGCAGGGGTGGGATGCTACCGGTTCTGCCTGGCTCTATAGCACCGGTAGCTCTGAAGAACAGCAGACACAGAACCGGTTCTGTGTTTGCTGCTGTTTGGCCCACCTGCCTGCCCGGGCTCTTATCTGTCCTTTATTTCGTGCTTTTTCAACCTCAGCTGCTCTGCGTGGCATAGCTGAGATTGAAAAAGCAGGAAAAAAGTAGCTTTTCAAATGCTGCGCACCTGCGTGCAGCACTTTTCAGTTGTCCGGGCAGCATAGCTTAAGGTTTTTATACGTACACGCAAAACGTAGTCACCGAACCAGTGGTAACACCAGTTGAATCCCACCCCTGTAATACAGTATCCAGACATGGAAACTATATGCCTGTTAACTCCTAGTTTCTATTTCCACTTACTGTAGTTGGAACGAAACTTTAAATAAATTTTTTAAAAAATATGGTACAGAAGTCTCAATTCTGTTCCAATACTCATGCCCTACTGGCAGGTCTACTGAATAGCTCTTTGCTACTAACATTACATTACCTGGACACCACTCTTGATTGAAGAGTGGTGAATTTGAAGAATATTTCAAATTCACAATAGTAATCTATTTAGTTTTATTAATTTTTTTCATACTTTTCCTGTATCAGCTTGATTTCTTTCTTCCTGCCACTCCCATTCCTTTTTGCACTGCTTTGCTTTCAAACCACAGAATCAGACAACCATTGGCCTTTGCCCTGCTTATTCTTAAAAAAATAAATTTATATTCTGATTAACTAATTAAGGAATGACAACAAACATTTTAATTGTTATGGCCCTTAGGAATAAGAGGCAACACTGGCAGCTACCAAAGCAGAAATTAACATAGTATGGTTGTCAGTGTCAAAAGACAATTGTCTAAGTTGTGCTTAATTCATGGGTTTTTATATTAGGGATTTCCCCAGGGAAATATAGTATTGATTTTTTTTTTCCTTTCAAGACATATTTACTATTTTTTATTTATTTTAGTAGGCTTATCTGCCAATTGACTCAGTGTACTTACAATCCTACTACAGGAAAGAGTAGTTTATAATCCTACTATAGGCAAGCAGGATTAAAACAGCAATATAATCAGCAATAAACAATTCTATATAAAACATTCCTATGTCAAGGAATCACATTCTTACAGACTCGTGTATTCTTACACAAACATACTTCACCATACACACACTTTCTGTACACCAACATTTTTACAGCATTTGTTTTTTTGCCTCAAGAGAAACTGTGGATCAGATTGACAGCTGACTTTTTTGACTCGCAGTATAAAGCATTTTTAAAAAATACAAAAATAAAACTGGAAAGTTGTTATAAAAATAAAGCAACCAAGTATGTTACTTGAACTCCTGTCTTCAGCAGACTGAAAAATACACTTGGTGCATTTTTCTACACATCTGAAGAAATTTACAAACAACAAACATTACACACATATAAAAAGGCAGAATAGTGACAGACTGCGCCCACCATGGACACAAGTCTAGAAATTAGCTCAACTTTAACAGCTTCTAAGAAAATACTGCATGCCTACTTGGTAGATATTGAGGAATGATGGGGCAGAGGTTGGCTGGGTAGCTGCAAACTGGGTAATAAGGCACATGTTTTGCAAGGAGAAAGTATCTTCAGATAGTTAAAATGAAGATTTTTTTCACTATTAAAGTCTTAAATACTTTAACTACTATGCCTAACACACATAAAAGGCAATGCAAAAGGAAACACTGAATAAAATTACCGTTTACATTGCCAGGCATCTGTTACACACACACAGACACACAGTGTGCATGTGTTTGTGTATGTATCTATGTCTATAATCTCTTTCTCTCTCTCTCCATACACATATCTATATATGTATATTTATATCTCTATTTTCTATAACTCTATATCTCTCTCTACACACACATACACACACACAAAATGAAACTAGAAGTTAGAATTTGGAGTTCAACATCCAGTGACAGGTTTGTTTCCATTTTAGAAACAGAAACGGATTCTTCTCGATTAACTGTTTTGAAAGCAGCCCACACATTCCGGGAAGGGGGTTGTCCGCTTCTTCCAAAGGGTCCCAGGCGGACCAGACGTGCCGGCTTCGGCTCCTATAATCCCAAGCCCCAAGGTAGAGACCCATGGGAGCTGGAGTCTGGAGGTGGCGAGGGGAGACCGGCGGCTTACGGGTGCGCCTAAAGCAACGCTCGCGATTCCCCCGAAGACAGTCGGGCAAGGCGAAGGAGAGAGAGAAAAGGCGCTTCTCCGCCACTATCCACCCGATGCCCTTGGCCGCAGCCGCCTCCTTGAAGGCGCTCAGGGGATCCGGAGGGGAGAAAGGAGATGCCAATCCTGCTTCCCTTCGTCCCGTCCAGAACAGAAAAGCCGCCAAGGCAGGACTGTGAACCTTCCGCCTCTCCCTCGGCTCCCTCACAGCCTCCCGGGGAAGCCCTCGAATCCCGCCCGCGAAGGCCTCCCCCCCGCCCGGCCACTCACCCGCAGTGGAATCCCGTCGCCGGCTCCGGCAGACACCGCGAGCCCCTGACCGCGCATGCGTACATGTCATGCCTTTACCTCCCGTCAAGACCGGCCCTGTCCTCTTAAAAGCTAGCGAGCGCGAGCGCATCACCTTTCCCCCCCCCCCCCCCCCCCCCCCCCCCCCCCCCGAGCCCCGCCCCGCTTCATTCTGACCCGCCCCGCCCCCCCCCCGCTGCGGGGCGACACGCCACGTCCCCTTTCCCGCCCCCCCCCACAGAAATCGGGAGACCTCGGACGCTGCCCACGGGCAGACGCCGTTTCACGGCTCGCGCGGTTGCCCCTCCCTTTCGCCCCAAGGGCAGCCCCACCCGCAGCGCGCACGCGCCTTTTTCGGGGCGCCATGAAGCCAAGCAGGAAGCGAGCGAAGGCTTAGCTGGGAGCTACGGATTGTCTTCGCTTGAAAAGAGGGACGAACGAACTCGAAGACTCCCGAGAAGTCAGGGCGGGTTTCGGATTTCTCCAGTCTTCCGTGGTTTTGTCTTGGATAATTAGCGACAGAGCGTCCCTAGCATTATTAAGATATGTCGATAATTGGGTTTTTTTAGGCGTGCGTACTTGCGTTTTATATTAGGTTAGCGAAGAGGTCTCCAAACTTAGCAACTTTAAGACATGTGGACTTCAACTCCCAGAATTCCTCAGCCAGCTTTTCTGGCTGAGGAATTCTGGGAGTTGAAGTCCACAAGTCTTAAAGTTGCCAAGTTTGGGGAGTCCTGGTGCGCTCCAGATATGCCAATATAAGCTCCATTACTGCCTGATAGGAGTTGTAATCCAACTCTAGGATGTCCCCAATATACATCTACAAATATATAATTGGTGAAGGGTAGTTCATTACTTAATGCTGGATTATTTTTTAAACTTATTTATTTTATCCTGCCATTATTTTTATAAATAAGGTGGCGATCATACCTAATATTCCTTCATTCTTCTGTTTTCCCCATAACGACTCTTATGAGGTGAGCTGAGAGTGACTGTCCCAAAATCACCCAGCTGGCTTTCATGTCTATAGAACTCATGATCTGGTTCTTAGGCCAGCATCTTAACCACTTAGAGCAAACTGGCTACTTTACAAAGGGCAATTGCCCCATTCAGAGCCCTCCAGTGTGTATAGGACTTGTGATTTTATCTCTGAGCTTTCTGAAAGTAGGTCTATCTTTATTAACTTGCTGCATGTTTCTTTGATCCACAAAAGGACTCCCACTCTTTTTAAAAAAAATTAAGCCACTGGGATGTTTACAAAATCAAGTGCAAGCTTCGAGCTCTCCTAGACCAGCAGATGATTAATTAAAGTTGTGATTGAATGCATACTTCAATAGCCATGTTAAGAAAATGATTGGATTTCATTAAAATGGTTGCAAAAGAGACTAGAATTTGTACACTCAAGTTTGTTCACCTTTACTCAACCTTTGGTACTGCTAAATGTGCTGATATTGCAGTAACATTGGAGGGCTGTGTGCAAACAATACTTATTACTCAATTTCAGAGTTTTGCATCATTTGAGAAATCAAAGCAAATATTCATGTAGTTGTACGGTATGCTGTTTCCTGGAAATCATTAAATGGGGGGCATATTCTGATTACAAGCAACTTGAGGCATGTACTAAATGTTCTAGGCATGCTTTGTATTTTGAATTTCTAATACAAACAGTCTACTGGACAGGGTCACCCTGAGATCAGATTAAGACAGGAAGACAACAGACCTAGTTTGCCACAAAGCATGTGTCAGAAAAGCAATATTTTGTCCTCAGTTTGAAAAAGTGCTCTCCCAAAGCCCCTCTTCCCTAATATTTAGGTCTTAAGCTTTGGTTGACTGTAGTACTGTACAGTGTTTGGCAAGTTCAAGCTGGCTGGCTGGGGAATTTTTGGTGTTGAAGTCCACACGTCTTAAAGTTGCCAAGTTTGAGAAATACTGGTGTAAGTAGAACTTCTTAGTTTATAAAGAAAGAAAGGAAGTCTAATAAAATACTCAAGAAAGCCAGCATTGGGGAATAGAAGAGGTTCTGAATGTGTCATATGTGGATGATATCTCAAAACCTGTTTCCTATAGTTCCATCCACAGCCAGCAGACATGCTAAGTGGACAAGATGCTGTTGAAGCCAATGTATTTGCCAGCTGGGGCAAATATGCATTCTCAATAATTTGTACCAGAAACAGATCAGAACTTTAAAAATTCTAATAGTTTAAAATGGTATGGCTGTGCAACAATCCAGATTCAAAAGTGAAAAAATAACTAAATGTTCTTGGCCAATGACCATTCATTTAACAATCATTTGAAATTAGGACAGTTCTAAAAGGAATAATTTAAAACACGTCCTCATACTTAAGACTGTTGCAGTGGTCACATGATCAAAATTTGGGCACTTGGCAACCAGCATGTATCTACTATGGTTGCAGCATCCTGGGGTCATGTGATTGCCATTTACAATATTCCCAGGCAGCTATCAATAAACCCAATAGGGGAAACTGGAATTAAGTTAACAGCCATGGCAAAAAATGTCATAAAACTGGGTGTGACTCACTTAACCATATAGTTTGTCAACAGACATTCTGGTCCTAATTGTGATTGTAAATTGAGCAGTAGCTGTAGGGGTGGGCTTACAAGGTCCTCTGGGCGCCTGCTTTTTATCAGGGCTCTGATCTGCTTGCCTTCTCACTGGCTTTTAAATTTTGAGAGTAGAGTCAAAATCTCTTTCCTGAAAAATAGAGCATAATACTGAGGACAGTTCCCTGGAATACAAAGAGGGTTTAAAACCCTAGCTTCTAGCTAGAAGAAATAGAATTAACCTTTTCCCAGTGGCTTAATCTCCAATGATTGAGAACCAGCCTTTAGCACAATTTATATTCCAAGGAGAACTAGAGAGTTGCATACAGAAGGCCTATGACACACTGTACAGTACTTCCTTGCTTTCACTTATTATTTATAAATACTGCTAATGATTTGTGAATCTCACTATCTTTTACTATCCTAGGAATTTGAGGCCAAAGGTACAGGATACAAATGTTAAGATTCATTTTTAAATGTCTATCAGGGACGAAAGCTCCTTATTCATTCACCACATGACTGAGCTAGTGTACAACTTCAATCATTTCTTGGGATGAAATTGGGAAGCAAATAATTCTTAAAAGTTTGCTAACATTTTCCTTCTCTGGCCTGCTAACTAATCTGTTTCTGTAAAACTGCTTCTATAAGGCAGAAATAATCTTGCAGAAATACTTTGTATTTTTCCTCCAGATTCAGTTAATATAGCATTAACTCTACCCTGTAAAAAAGTTATTCGGAGTGGAAGAAACAAATACTAGTGAAGTAAGTGTCTAGTATAAATTGTCTTTTGCAGAGATTATCTTTGATTCCTTAATGGAATTGTGCATGCTGTTTTATCTCCAATGACTTGTAGCCTCAATAAAGCAAACATCACAGTAATTTAAATTTGCATTTGTGTTTTTCTTCTGAGAGAACGTGAACTTCATAATAATTAAGTATGTAAAGAATCTTCCACACAATTTACTTTGGACCAGCGTGATATCACATATGGTATAACTCTGTACAAAGAACAGATATTTCTAAATGCTAGAGAAATTACACTCGGATAACTTTAATCTGGATTTCTTCTACTACACTTATTATGCAGATAACATTATATTGGAAATCTATATTCACATGCTATAAATTATAAATTTGTAAATAAATTATTTCTTTTGCAGCTGGCAAATAAAACTATTGTTTTGGAAGTATTCTATACATTAATGTCTTTTATTTGGTTCTTGTATATTAAAGAACATTAAAATATAATAAAAATCCATTAATTGCACAATAGTGGTGCCAATTATCTTTCAATTAATCACATCTGTTGTGTCTCTTGGGAAAGAGTACAATTTATATTTTGCATAATTCTGTCATAAAACTAAAGTCTACACGTTACTGACATTTAGATTGACAAGGGATAAAATAGCATTGTCAACATATAAAAGGAAATGTACGTGAATTAATATAGAATTAACCAATGAGAAATTATAAGTTCATGCTTGACTCTTGTTGGACAGGTAGACAGTTTTATATAGCATAATAGGTCATAATTTATTGTCTACTATAGACCACTAGTCAGTCCCCAACCTTTTTGACACCAGGGACCAGCTTTGTGGAAGACAATTTTTCCATGGACAGGTGGGGGTGATGGGGGGGGGGTGGTTTCGGTTTTGCTTGCTTGCCTGCTGCTCACCTCCAGTTGTGCGACCCAGTTCCTAACAGACCATGGGCTGCTACCGGTCTGTGGCCTGGGGATTAAGGACCCCTGCTATAGACAATTCTAATTTAGCCCCTAGTCTCATCAATAGCTAACCAAATGATACCTTCAAATCAGCAAAGACACATCTAGGTAGTTTTCTAAGGCAGTGTATTTCTCTGACATGACGGGGAAGGGGAAAAAAATCCTTGAAAAAAAATATTGCAAAGCACTTCTGTACTATTGCAAAACCCCTAAAAGAATGTGTTCATAAAATTCTTGAGAGTGGAATTTGACTTTACAAGATAATTGTACTGCTCCCCTATGCAACCTGAATTTAATCTCCTAGCGACTTAGAACTCCATCAGGGATATCCAACCTTGGCAAGTTTAAAACCTGTGGACTCTAATTCCAAGAATTCCCCAGCCATGCTGGCTGGAGAATTCTAGGAGTTGAAGAGTCTATAAATCTTAATCTTGCTATGGCTAGATACCATTGAACTCCATATAAAAATAAAAGATATGCATGAAGCGATTCTACACAGTCTGAATTGACTAAACAAGCTAAGTGATTCCAAAACTCTGAGCCACAATGCCCTGCCATGGTATAGGATATTTTACTACCTCATTAATAGAACTGTCCTAATTGTCCCTGGGGCACCAAGCATACAGTCTGGGAGATGCTAAGAACCCTGTGAACTGAGAATATTTGGGAACTTCTGAACTTAGTCAAAACCATACAAACCAAATTGTGGCTTAGCATGCTGTATTAATTTGTCATTGCTTTATTTGTTTATTGAACTTACATGCTGCTGAATTGTATTAGTGTCAGAGCAGCTTAGGACAACAGCATAAAGTAATATCAGCCAATCAAAATAAACAGCAGTAAATGAAACACAATACTTCTGGTGTTTATTCACTGAAGAGGAAAACCTAGCTTCTGGAGGAAGGCTGTTCAAAAATGTTGGAGCCATGAGGGGAAAACACTATTTTCTAGCTCCTGCTCCCCTCACCAAAACAGGGTAGTTCTCATGATTAGACACTGATAAAGTCACAAGGCAGCAAACCATAGCTCACCACAACTTGTAAAAAATGTCAAACATAAGAGTGGAACGGAGTGTCTTGGAATAGCAGAAAGGCAGTCTTTTCTTTCCAGTTCCAATGAAGCATAGCCCCATCTTTAAGTCTGCATTTGAATGAGAAACTTCCAGTCTGCTTTTGGAGCCCATTCTGCTTATTAAAAGTATGAATCTTCTGCTTTAAAATTACTTCTTCACTATTTTGCACATCCATTATCCCAGCAGTGATAATTATAATAGTTTCTTTGAATAAGAACAATTTATGAAATGTATAGGCCTTTTGACTCCCTACAACTTTGGGCGGTGTACAAATTGTTAAAAATGTTAAACAAGAAAACAGCACAAAATAAACAAAAAGAACAAAGATGGCAGAGATAACAGCCCCCTGGGACAAAAAGAAGAGCAAGGGGCTTCTGTCATGCTCACCAAAGGCCTGGATGAAGAGATAGGTCCATTTTGTGCATGTACTAGGCACAGGGGAAAGCCCACACAAATTTGATCTTGTCCCCCTATAGTCATGCTCTGGATTTTTTGTTTGTTTTTGCAGGCCCCACAAATGCAGTAGTGCAGTAGGTATTGGGTCAGTTGCCAATAAAATAATGCATTAAAACTGTAGAAGGTTGTGGTTATGAAACCAAATCTAATTTTGTGCATGTCTGAAAGTACAAATTAGGTATTCACCAGTTTGGAACTGATATGCACAGCATAGTTGACTGTCTATTCATATGGTAAGCACAGGAAGTAAACCATAAAGAAGCAGATTTGGGGATCTCCAGGTATATATATATTTCTTTCATTCATGCATGCTTGACAATAATTATAGCACTCTCATTCTGAATTACCAGTAATCCATACTTAATACTATTAATAAGAATTAATCCTCCGGTATTTTAACTATTTTTATCACTATAGAAAACCACAAGGTGTCACTGTTTCAAGTCTGCCAGTAGGACCTAATTTTTAACACTTCTCTATACTGGATAATTAAATCCTATGTAGCATCTCCTTTCTTTTTCAGAGAAAGGAAAATAGAATTCAACTTCTGCTTTTTGGCCTTGCTCGTTTAACCATGGTTTGTGGAAGTTAAGTTCAAATTTTAATAAAACATGACATACCTCAACTAAAGAAGTTGTATAATAGAATGAGGCATGAATCAAGTCAGTCAAATTAAGATTAAGTTTTGAGGGGGAAAAAGTTTTTTCTCCAAACTGTCAGGTATGCAAGTACATATGACATTTGGCTACATTCATTATATAAGAAATTCAAGATGACATTCACAAAAATACAGTTTTGTGGGGGCCTGATACAATACTCTATGGGGTAGCAAAGTCTTGTATCACAATTTATTAATCATTTAGGAGCCCACAAAATTCTATTTTTTCTTCTTTTCACACATTCTTACAATTACCCCCTCTGGAAAAGTTCCTAAATAATTGACAAACTAATGTTTCTCTTTCAAACCAAAACAATTTTAAAAATACTAAACGATGAATGCAAATTTTCTCCCTCCCAAATGAATGCATATTTTCTCCCTCCCATCAGCCTTTTATAATGAACGTATTTACAATTTTGGCTAAAAAGCCTGCATACTTTTTTATCACCTTGAGTCAAATTATTGCCTTGTTGTAGATTGTGGAGCTTTTCCTATATTTAAAATTATTCCCTTTGTGCTTTTCTAAATATAAAATGCATATTATAGGGAACAATTAGAGCAGTGGAAGGGAATAGAAAATTTGCTAAATGAAAACATCATAGAATCTTTACATTGTTGCTTATTTAACTATTTGACTAACAAGGAAGGATTAGTGAACTATAAAAAATAAAGCACACATTGAAGATACTTTTTTCTAAGTCTGTTTTCAATTGGAAGGACTTAAACATATGCAGACATCTCAAAGTGACATCAACACTATTTATTTTAGAAGAACTTAGGTGTAACTAGAAAGACCCGTTTATTTTTAATTGAGTCTGAACAACTTGTGTCATTCTGCTTGGTTAAATTTAAAATTTTCCAAAACATTAGCCAGAAAGGAACAGACCTTAAAATTTAACTACCCTAAAAATTTAACAATGTATGGTGAGATCTTGGGACATTTTTGGACACAGAGTTATTGTTACTAAGCTCTGCCAAAGTCAAGGAAATAAATTGCAATAGTGCAACTTGTAGCAGATTTATTTACAAGTAAATCCCAACAGATAATACCGTTCTGAATTTCTTAGAAAGTACCAGATGTACAGTTAATTTGCCCCATTGATCTCAGTACTGCTGGTTCACATACTTCTTTTTTTTGCTAGTGTAATCCTTACAAAGAGATGAACAAAGTTATGCCCGAAATATCAGATCTGTAAATGGGGACGGATATCCTTAGAACTAGCAGGCATTTCTACTAAAATAATCATAAAAGTTTCTGGCTTTCAATTTTATCCTATGGGGATTAAGTCCTGATTTTGGTACATTTCATTAAGCAATGAGGAAGTGTGGTTAATCTAATGGCTAATTACCATTCCAATCCCCAACATAATGTTCTGTTCAGCTTCTTTGAAATTAAGGAAAAATTGTACATTCACTTTGGAACCATAACATTCTTGGCCATCTAGCACCCCTTCTTGCTACTTTATATAAAAGAAACCACAGATGCCTAGTAGCCTTCTGAAACACTTAATCCATCTGAGAAAAATATATTGAATTGTTTCCCCATCACACGCTGTGAAGAAAAACAAATTTCCTGATAGAAGGCAACCTCAGACTGTTTCTTTAAAGCTGCCAAGAAAAATTAGAAGTTGTATTCGGGTGAAAGGCTAAATTCCCTAAGTAGAACTGGAGGGACTATTTCAGTCAGAGGCATCCTAAAGCTTGGTAGTTTGACTATTATATGTTGGGTGAAAAATACAGAACATTCACTAGTTTCACAGATATACTGGGGAGCTAATCTTCATCCTCCTCATTTAACCATCTGTCCATAATTTTACCCTTCAACTAAGACAGCTGTTCCAAATGACAATCCAATTATACAGGTTTGTGCTGGGTTCACATAATGTATTAAGAACCATACAAGTATAGAAAGTTTAATGTATTATATGAACCCAATCAGTGAAAGTTGGGTCACCAAACTAAAAATACTCTGGATATAATTATTGTAAAAATGAGTCAAGCAAGGATATATCATACCTAAATTTCATCATACTATGAATCCAGATGAATTGTTTCAAATTAACAGTCTTAATTCTTATTATTTAAACTGCCAATTCTTAATGCTTTGGCTGTTTTAGACAACCTCTGATCTGACTCCAGTATTACATTGAAATGGCCAAATATCCTTATATTTGTTTCAATCTAATACAATTTGTAAGAATTATTTTTCTGTTAATATTTTGTAATTTTTAAAATGTTAATTGTTGTGTCTTGCAATTCCTTTACTGGCTGGGGAATTCTGGCAGCTGGTCTACACCTCTTAAAAGATGCCAAGGTTGAAAACTGTCCTAACCATTATCTTATTCATTGGTTACTTGAGAGAATTTCATGAGAAGAAAGGGGGAAGCACAATTTATTTAATTGCCCAAACAGGCAAGCGCCTAATATTTTCAAGGAGCAACCACTTCTGGATTTTATTTTGGGCAGGGCACCCAGAGGGAAGGCAGACTAGTCAGTGACAAAAGAATGCCCACTCCTATGACCTACTTGCCTTTCCTCAGTCTCAGTAGGAAAGAGTAGACCTAATGCAACTATCATAAAAAAGTAGTTACAATTGCTGCCTCTGCCCACTTAAAACAAGCCAATTTTCTTGTTGCTATGCTGCCTGAAAACAGAAATTAAGCAAGAGATGCAGGAAGCTCTCTCAGACAACCCACGCCCCTGAATGGGGTGAATGACTGAGCTTTGCAGTAAAACCAGGGTGCAAGGCAAGTGGTTGAGCAAATAATATCACACTTTGGGAACATGTTCTGCTCCACCATCTCCAGCGAAATACCTTTTATTAAAAGCAGAATTAAAACATCAGTTATGCACTATCAGATTATGGCTGACTCTTCACACCCACCACTTGCTATTCCCTCTGACAGTGATCTTTTGGTTCTTCAGCAGATTCCCAATCATAGTAACAGGATTCCCAGGAGGAAGCAGGGAAGGTGAGCATGCCCCAGAGACCTACTGCAAAAAAACAAAAACAAACAAACAAACCCACCTCCCCTTCATCTCAAACTAGCCTGGTGAATAGTAAATCCCCTTCCTGTATTTGGGATTCATCCTATCTGGGATCTCTGATGATCTTTTAAAATAAATTCACGTACTCACACATTTTTACACTCCTTCAAGAAAACCAAAGAAAGCAAAAACAAAAACTACCTAATCTTAACCAAGCAAACAAACCACAGGTTTAGAAGAGGATCCCATCTAATTCTATAACTCCATAAATGATCTCGGAAGAACCCTCTCTCAAAGGGCAATCCCCTACCTACCTATCCAACTCTTTTCTTTTCTTGCTTTTCATTCTGTGCATTCAAGGTTTTCTGAAAGTGAATCCCACTGGGGAATTTACAGAGTGGTGGAGCAGACTACTTTGCTTTGTTGGACCATACGACTAGCACACTTAATAACAACCACAATAATACAAATATTAATAATGCCTCCCCTCCCTCCAGATCCAACCCACCTGTGTGCAGCAATAGCTCGCCTTTAACCTCAATCGCCGAATCGGTAGCTCTGGAAGGCAACAGTTCTGGAGATGCGCCTTTAAACCAGCCCCGCCGCCTCGGCTGCTGCTCGAAACCGGTGAATGGCAGCTCCCTTTGCCCTGTCAGAAGCCGGTGCTTCGAAGCCTCGCCCTCTTATCTTTTGCCGCCAATGAGTGAAGCGAAATGAAAAAAAAAAGGGCGGGGGTGGTGTGAGAAAGTGACGCCGCGTGGCCAGAGAATGTGTGACCAATGGGCGCTTCTCTGAGGCCCAGGCCGGTAAAGGAGTGCGCGACGTCAGAACCTAGCGCCCAATAGGAGTCCACTCCTGACTGCAGGGTGAGGGTTGTGAGGCTGTAGGTCCTCTGGTGAGAAAGAGGAGACGGTTGCTTAGCAACGGGAGGAAGGCGCTCTTCTTATCTGAGCCCAAGAAGCACCGTGTTGCTTCTCCAAGGGGATGAAGCTTTCATTGAGAGGGGGAATCAGTATGAGCATGAGTAAAAGTTCTGGTGATTGTTGTTTTAAAAAGTTAGCTTCCTTTAGTTGGACATTAGTAGCAGCTGTTAAACCTGACACAAAGATGGAGCAAACATACTGATTGGAAATTATGCTGTTGGTATTAATGACTGAATAATGTCACATTGGGGAAATTTCTTTTAAAAATAACTCATGGGATTCAAAAGATTCTCGATTCACTTCCTCACACCTTCAGTTTAAAAGACAATTGGTGCTGTATGGAATGAGGCTATTGTGACCATGTGGAAACTCTGAGTGCATCTTAATTACTTCCAATAAAAAGGCTATTGACTTGCAGTCCTCTTTGTTAGACTTATCCACAGCAGGTTGTCTGCTTTTGGAAGCAGTTTGTTGACAAGAATATATGCTTGAATATGTTTTGATGTTTTGAAAATATTAAATGTCCAGCTTCTTAGCTTTGTGGAAAGTAATAATTTGCATTATTCAATTATTTTAATTTATTCTATTCTTTTATTATTTCATTTATATCCTGTTTTTAAGCTTACATAAATATTTGAAATTATATGTGTTTTAGGCAGGCACACAAATAATTACTTCTAAATATAAATTTAGTAGTTAGTTTACTTTATTGATTAGCCAAGTGCAGAGTTCCAAACACAAATTATTATTAAAATCCAATAAAAACAATTTAAAATGAAATTGGAATAAAATACAATTTAAAATGAAATTGGAATAAAATACAATAATTTAATATATGGATAAATAAAATATAAAATTATATTTCAATGTCACCCCTTAAAATCTAACTCCAATCAGTCCCACATATGAAAGGATAAGAAAATAAAGGCAATAATATGTAGACCTCCAGTAAAATTCTGCAAATGAGACAGGGCAAAAGCATAAGAAAAGCTTTATAAGAGACATTGCAAAGTGTTAAGAACTTAGTTGTACATAAAGCACATTAAATATTTCATTAAAGCATCCTCAGCTACTCACCATAACAGAAGCTCCCCCCCCCCTTTTTTTTTAGATGAGATTGAGATACAGTACCATAAAATTCAGCTGGCATATACAGTACATGCTATAGACTTCAAGGATTTTAAGAGTCTGAGATATAGCAGTCAAGGGGCTGGATTAGAACTAGGAGACCCAGATTCAAGTCTCTGATCAGCCATAGAAACTCCCTGGATAACTTTGGGCTAGTTTCTTTTTCTAAAGATCAATTTACATCAGATTTATTGGGTGTATACAATGAAGTGAATTTCCTGGATAAGGTACCTTAAACTCTTGGAGAAAAGACAGACTATAAATCAGTAATAAAAACGGTTATTCCTTCTTCCAGGAATAACTCCTTGGGAATTATAATTCTATTGGTTAGCATAAAGTTTAATCAAGGAGTTCCTAATAATAAATACTTAGTACCTGGTATAATCCCATTAGCATGATATTGTTATGTAGACAGACATGCAAATGTCCATTTACTTGTTTGGCTGACATGATATTCCTAAAGGTTTGCAAGGCAAAAAGATTAACAAGGTTTCTTAAGGTAACTCTGAATATAATCTATTTGGCATAGCCAAGAAGGGGAAAAAGAAAATAAAGGCTCTTTTTTTTAAAAAAACAACCTTGATAAATATTTACATAAACTGACTTGCTCAAAGTTGACTCAATTCATTACAGAAGAGTTGTTTTTTCTAGGAAATGGTACTTGCGTCAAAAAGTTGCATGCAATTTATTTGCAAATACTATGATGAAATCCAGTTCTAATCGATCTACAATTCCACAGGGAAAGAGTTCTTAGACAATGAAGCCAGATATGTTATAGCTATAAGTTGAACACTTCGGCTTTTATCCTAAATACCCTGATTCCAGGATAAACTTAATTTATTTTAAAGAGTTGAACCAGTAACCAAGTGCCCTCTGATTTGGTTTATCAGTGTATTGTTGAACTAATGTTTTATTGTCTATTTTAGGATGGGTGGGCAATATTTTGGCAGCTATCAATCACATTTCTAATATATGTACTGTATATAGCTGAGGGCCATAGTAAGTGAGGCTATAATATCTTCAACTTTGCAGGAGAGAAGGCAGGGCACAGGTTGTCCATTTACTTTTATAGTTCACCAACTGGTAAAACCCTGGTAAGGAAGAAGAGGAAAGAGAAGGAGGGAGAGAGAGGTAGACAGACAGATATGTAGATATGTACTCTGTGTGTATGTCTGACTAAATATTTTTAAAATGAAGATAACAGAATCTAATATAAACAAAAGAAAAGAAATCAGAGAGAATATGCTGAAGTGCAAGCTGAAAGTGCAAGAAAGGGGGGAAAAGTGAAGAAAAATAGAAAATAACAAAGATACAAAGCTTCCAAATGTCTTTACACTAGTTACAGTTCAATTATAAATTTACCATAAATCTATACATTTATGGTTACAACATACCTCTCGTCTTCATGGGATCATTTTTTTTCCTGTTTTATGCAAAAAGTCCATCAGGGGTCTCCAGGCAGTAATAAACATAGAACATCTTTTATCTGATCAAAAAAGTCAATTTAGCCATTGCAGTAAGTTCCATCATCTTCATCAACCATTCCTCCATTATAGGTAGTTCCAAATATTTCCATCTTGTTTTTTGTCTTGCTGCAGTTGTCATATATAAAAACAAGTTCCATAACTTTTTTCCGGTCTGCAGCGCTTCAGAACAGGCAGGAATCCGCGACTGTACGCAGTTTCTGCCTGTGTTCACTGCCCGAGTGCCCTGAGCCATCTGGCTTCGGGGCTAAGCCACCTCTGTACAAGGTGGCGAAGACAGATGAAATGTGTCTTCTTGTCATTCATATTTCCAAAATAAATCTGAACCACTTTTATATGTTCTTGACAATTTCTATGTAACATCTTATATTTAATTTATGGTTTTTCCAGCACTGCACAAATTTATACATATCTGTCACTGTTTGAATGTACATCAGATATCAGAAACAATTCTAGGGATATTCATTTTTATCACAAAAATTCTCCACAGCAATGGCAGTAGCGGTTTTTCTCTTCTTAATATGTCTTTTTAACTTCATTCCATGTCTTAGTGCTATTATTTTGAAATTACATACAGTTCATATCTATAATAGTGATACCCAGATATATTATTATATTCTCAATCTTACAACTCATTTATTTATGTTCTGTTTGAGCTACTTTCATATTTTTGCTGACATTTTTGTGTTCTGTTGATTAATCTTGAAACCTGCTAATGCACCACATTCTCTTAATTTTCCATTAATATTTCAATTTTCTTTAAAGAAACTTCCATAACCAACACTAAGCCATCTTCAAAAGCCCTTAATTTAAAAGTTTTTAAATCTTTACTCCCACAATTCTCTCCTTTCGTTTTATACCTCTATTCTATATTTCAAGAACCAAAATAAACAATGGAGGAGAGAGAAGGTATCCCTGTATTGTTTTTTTTTGTTTTAATCTCACAGGATTTTTAAAGATTTCCATTAACAATAATTTTTAATGTTATATTGGGAAATGTAAAATGATCTTACCCCTTTTATTAAATTCTCTCCAAATTTATGTCTTCCAAAATCATTAACAAAAAACTCCAGTGGTATGACTTTATTTTGAACGACGTTCTTGATACTTATTGATTTGTTACAGTATTTGAATATTTTACAAGTACATGCTATAGTGTCAAGTGTTCCAGTCCAGAAATGTGCAGATCTGTATAAATGAGTCCTGGATTATTAGAGCAGTGGTCCCATCTGCCAATATTTTTAAAGCTTTATTTTTCAAATAGCCATTACCTTCCCAACTCTGTTTTGCATATTTACTTTTCTGAGGCTAATCAAAAGCTGCCACTTATTAGACTGATATTTCACAACAATCTTCCCAAATCTATTACTGTCCAAATGCACCTTCCATTTTTCTTAACCTATATGGCTATCATAACTTGTGATTCAATACAGCCAGAAGGTACCAGTTTGGAGAAGGATGATCTGTAATGCAAGCAGAACCAAATTTACCCTCAGGTACCTTTAAACCATTTCTACTTACTCTCTGCATTCTAATAAATATTTATTCAAATGTAATCATATACTGTTAATAAAACAGTTCTCCTATATTTAGTGGCATGATTTGAAATTTAGAAAACAACCCAGCTCTCTCCTGAATGAATAACTAGTATACCTGGCTTATTCCCTGGAAAAGTGTTGATGTCAATGCTGGCTTAGGCCAACAGCTAAAACATTCTGTTTTTACAGTAGCAACCTGGCTGTTGAATGTTCCTAAACAAGTCAACAACGAACAGTGTCTTCTCATATTTTTCAGTAGCTGGAGTGAATTTACAGTATAGATATTCTGACTGGCCAGAACGAGCTAGAATTTTCCATTTTATTTTATTTTAAGTAAAATATTTTTACAGGATTTTTCATATGTATACTGGGTGACTAAGAGGAGAGATGCAACACTGCAAGTACAACAACAGCTTGGCATGGGGACAGATAAGATTGCAACCCCACATTCATTTGGGTGTGAGTACTATGAATACTGTAATAGGTATTTCTCAGTAAATCTGGTTGGCTGATCTCCAAAAACTTACAGGGTTGGACTTGATTACTACTTGAGTAGGAGACCAGAGAAAATTTCCGGTCTTCCCTTGGGCTGGTCTGGGAAGCTGAAGAAATACAATGGCAAGCTACTTCCATACTCTTGTCACAAACAACATCTGGACAAGTCCACAAAGTCACCAAGGGTCAATTTTGATTTGAAGAACACTTTAATTTCCCCTTTCTTTAAAAAAAAAAGTATAGATTTCCTTTTCAATATGGCAGTCTCCAAACAGGCTAGATTGCAACTCAACTAATTCCAGATCAAAGTTCTAATCCAATCACATTTGGACTGTACATCTTTGTTTTTTTCTTTTAGTCACTGTGTACTCTTTGCAGTAAGATCTCCTTAATTGCCACCCCATCTCAAGCTGAAAGTTCACTGAGGTAGCACTTGCTCTCAGTTAAGTGG